AGAATTTGACTGCTGCTTCCAAAGGCTCTAGAGAGCTATTATGTGCTTTCAAATCAAACTTCCGTTTTAACCCGACTTTATCCGTGTACAGGATGATTTCTACGTTATACTGAACTCACACGCCTTTTTCCCCTCGTCCGGCTCTCCATGTCCGTTTGTCCGCTTTGGCCTGTGACGGGCTCCGCGGAATGCCAATCATCAACACTCTGGCTGCCCCACCAATTACAAAGTCCCAGTCAGGCGTTTTCTGGTCGAAAGGTCAATCTGGTGGCCAATAACGTGGCGGCAATTCGGCCGCTGGATCCACACGGAAGATTGATTTTGCCAGGCAATTTGTCCGTAAAGTAACTACATGTCGGCCTTCCCTTTTTATTAGCACGAAGCATCTCAGGATGGACTCCCTACCGACCGAGATCATCCAACATATCTGCAAGCAACTATGCTTTCATTGCCAACACCAAGGTGTCTTCCCTAATGCAGACTCGCGCGATGTTCTTGCACACAAATCCTCGCTGTCTCGGCTATGTAGCACATCAAAACGGCTCAGCGTCATTGCCCAGCCGGTGCTTTACCACTACTATGCGACTGGGAATCTTCCCACAACCGCCGGCTTTGGCCTAAACCATGCCATTCGCGCATCTTCTGGGGACGACAAGCTCTCCCTCTTTGTTCGAACAATTATGCAGCGACCAGACCTCGCGGGCCATGTAAGGGCTCTGCAACTAGTGGACTCGGATGTTGTGAAGGGATGCTCCCTTGATCTTTTGCGCGCTTTTGAAACCAAGGCAGAGGAGTGTGGCATGCGGGTACTGGAGGACGACAGCAGTCTGTCAGATGTCGATAGCTTCTACGAAGACCAGCCGCTATCATCGCTTGAGGGCCACCGCTGGCTTGAGGGGCTCGCGATAGCCCTCTCTCCCAATATTGAGATGCTCCTCATCGCACATAACACCCCTTCGCGCCCCTTTGTGAATGTTGATATCAATTTGTCTCGACTGGCAAAACTTGCTATTCGAGGATATTCAGGACAGTACTTCTTCTCCGAGGCAATACCATTACTTTCAGCCGCGCCGAATATGCAGACCTTGTATCTCTTGGATTGTTGCCATCTCACGGGCTGGAATCGAATTCTAGACGTGGAATTTCAACCTCATTTTGAGTTGGCCCTTGCCAACTTGCGTAGCTTGGTTATTAACGGCCCACATCCGGAACACCTGGAAGAAATACTAGGCTATTGTTGCCAGCTACAGGATCTCGAATACTATGAGCAAACGACCATCGGCGTCTCGAATGTCAGGCAGCTAGTAGAGTCGTTTTTGCGCGTCAAGCGCACCCTTCGACGGTTGTACTTTGCCTATCTTCCAAGGGGAAGGTTTGACTTCAACTGCGGCTTCCACCGCACGATTGAGGGCCTTGACGCGGACGAGCAATACCGGGATTACGTCGAGTGTTCGTTGGCCGAATCCTACGATACCAGCGCCATCGAGTTGCTACGAGATTTCGAACAGCTTGAGGAGCTCGGCATCGATCAGGCATCCATCTATAGCCCATCGAGCCCAGATGCTGAAACGAATCCGGGCCGGCTCTCTCGTCTTCTGCCACCAAATATTCAAAGGCTCCGCGTCATGTACGTATACAGGGCTATGACGGGCGATCTCTACTGCCTAGGCCGCCAAGCACCATACAAGTTTCCAGAATTAAAGCATGTCAGACTTGGCCAAGCCATCTCTATTACGCCGGAGAGACAGGCAGGACTTGAGGAAATGAGGCAAATAAGCAGCATCGCCACAACCATGGGAGAGACCATATCGGTGAGCTGGGCCGTTGATGAACTCGGAGCGGATGTACGCACTCGTATTCCAGGGGGTACAGTACACCCCCAATTTATTCCGTGTCCGGTGAATTAGATCCGGACAACCCCTTTCTCGGGACGCCTTAGCAAACTTGTGATTCAGCGGCTACTAGCCTGGCCATCGATGATGATGACAAAGTATACAATACGTTGTACTCGGAGAAGGGGAAAGGGGTATTGACGAGAAGCTTTGAAGCATCAGGAAAAGAACCACTAGTGGTGGTCTCAGAGGCCGTATCAGTTCCCATCAGAGCGGTGTGCTCTTCACGGGAGTATTGGGAATACCACTAGTGCTAGGCTTGGAACAATTACAGGAGTATATTTGGGGTTGTTCCCGCAGCGTGGCTTTTTGAACCAGTACCACTGCCGTCATCGTCCTACTCAAGAGGGTTGGGTGCATTGGCGCCGGTGCTGGACGGCATTGTCAAAACCTATGTCGTTGTCCGAGGCGGCAGTCCGAACAGGAGGTGGGGACTTGAGGGACTTTGCAAGAACACAGTATCTTTTGCAACAACAGTAGCAGTGCTGGACTTGTCGAATTGGACCTGCTCGCTTGATATTCAGCTTGGGCGAGGGCAATATTGCTCCCGAGGAGCATAACGAATCCAACGACTGTCACAGGAAACTTAACTTTGCCTTGTAAACGGTACGTGTGCAGGCTGTGCAGAAAAAATTTAGCGAATGTGATGCGATATGTGAGAACAATAAAAGAATGGCGAGTTAGCTTCACCAACCACATTACAAGGTTGTGGGCAAGAACATCCATCAATTCAACTCAGAGAGAGCCGCAAAGATGCCGCAGATAAATCACACGACTAGGAAACCTGTGAGTATCTAGTCCTTGGCTTGGCTGGGCGGACGTCTGGGAGTCAATATGTATTTGCCCTGAATCACCATTATGCTCGTCAGATAGGCTCGGAGGCCTGTGTGAGCCCATTGGTGCCTTGGAGAGTCCCAAAGATGCAAGGTTGAGTCGCGTGATTTAAGTACTGCAAGTAAAATCAGGAAAGAAAATAAATTATACACTATATAATGTGATGTTGTCACACGGAAATGGCGTTGGTTACACAAGGGCGACGGTCACGGGATTAGGGCAGAAGGCCCTCACCGACTTCTTGGATTTAAAGACCTCTTTGGCGACCGAGGCCTTGGGGAAAACCAAGGACCTTTGATACCAAAGACTGTTATTAGATGAATTGAGTAAATTGCTCCAAGTCTCTAGCCCTTGTCACAGATGTAGACAGAAGAACGCATAGCCATATAAGCAGCATGTTATTTAACCAAAGAGAATCACTGATGGGAGTTGTACCTAATTCAGGCGATAAAATCTATCAATAGGCATGCAGGACTACCAACTAAACTGTTTCCGTCAGCGATGTCCACACTGGTAGTCAAGTCAGCTGTGGAGTTATGTTGTCGCCAAGTTGGAACTCTGGAGTCTTACCATCGCTATGTGCTTAGATTTCTGAACAATGCATGTATTCTTTGCCATTTTTGGAACATACATTCACGTCTTCCAATTATATGACCAATCAAACCTCTATAACTGTACGGGGTGCCCCCAGTCGACTTATGCCGGCTTGTTTCACGGCCGTTGCACGCCACTCCATGGGAGGACTTGGTCAAGTTTCGAGGCTTCAGAGGGAAGGGGCTTTACCAGTCGTCATGTAAAGAAGAGAGGCATTTTGTCCATCCAATAAAAATATCCCATGTCTAACAAAAAGCGCCTTGTCCCCCGGCTCACCGGACGCGATAACCTTGTCGTCGCAGCACGACATGACCATGCCTGTCGACAGCCGGCTACGGTTGGCCAGCCGCGTGTGATATGCCATTGACATTATGTCGTGGAGACGCTTTACAGGGTGAGTGGAGTCCAATAAAACAACATTGAACATTCAAGTCTGGTGTCACAGGATATGTAAGGTGTGCTGGGCGTCCATAAAAGTGCCTCTCACCAACTCCATTTTTGTACGACCAGAAGGAACTTGCTACCCCTCCCTTTGTTGAAGCCAGAAGTCAAATTTGTGTTGCCGAAAGCTCAAAGAGAGTTGATACACTGCAAAAATGTATCTCAGCGCTCGATTTATGCTCTAAAGAGGTGACAACGATGTCGTTCACCAAACTTGCTGACCTAATGCGACTTGGAGCAGCTCGTACAAGCACAACACGTTCGTCCCAGAGACAGGATGACCTTGGCGCATTAGAATGCATGTGTTATTGGGCACAAAAGTCCCACGCAGCTGACAGCTCACGGTGCATTGCCGCCCGGTATTCCTTTCTTGTTACGAGTTGATTTATTAATACTTTTGCCGTGTTACGTGACAGGTTCTAAATGATTGTGCAAGTCTGCCGCTCTCCCTCCCCCATGTATTGCTGCCACATCTTGTGCTGCCTTCGAAACACGGAAACCAATTCACCTGTGCTGCTTTGAAAAGGGATATTTCAGTTAACAAATAACCAGTTATTTGTACTTTCTGTTGCAGTGTATGTTGCCCTCCAATAATCGAAGCATCACCTTGCCCTTGAAGCCCATAGCGTCTATGTACGTACTGGTAAGTTTGTGGAACATCAGGTTGACATCCCAATACCGTTGGTCCGTTGTACAACGGGGGCTTGGGCCTGATAATAGGCCATTCAACTTCTGCAAGTGTGGTCGCACTTGACACAGCTATACACCCTTTCCGCGGACAATGTATTTGGGCGGCACAGGAATGGCCTAGACCTACATGTTGGAGTACAACTCAACCGCACCGCCATAGGCCTCTTCGTTTTTCCCGAGCCCCCAGCTCTCTTCCAAGGTAGTATCAGCATGTGGTTGAGAACCCAATTGGCTATCCTCAGCAACCACTTGGAACAAGGCAGGCCCCCAGCCAGTTGGGCCGTAATTATTGGGGATATTGGGCCGTAGACAAAGAGCCGCGGAGAATGATGCCAGCCTTTTCCTGTCGTGTGATCAAACTCTCCCGTTAACAACTACTTAAGACTCGCCCGGTCCCAGAAACGTGTTGCCACGTCTGAAATTCCTCGGATAAGCCTCATATTTCTGCATCTATCGATTCAACGACTCTATCTATTGTCTACCATACTCTTCAGAAGTTCCAGACTAAAAACACATATCGTGATCTCTCAGGCACTTTGAGTGACCACGATGGATGGATTCAAAAAGTCACGCAGCTCGGCGTTTAAAGACAAGACATCTTCCGCCATCGCAGTCTCTCGGGCAATGCCATCATCGTCACAACAGCCGCAACAGCCTTTTGGAATCAAGACTCTGCATGAGGATGAAAACAGCACAATAGAGTTAGTATCTTTGCACGACCCTTCAGCTGTCTGGCCCCATTGACCAACAAAACCGTAGCATCGTCTTTGTGCATGGCCCAAGGGGTCATCTCGAGAACACCTGGAAGGCAGAGTGCACTTTATATCCGTGGCCTCAAACCTTACTGCCTGGTAAAATCCCGAACGCACGGATACTCACCTTTGGGTATGACGCTACCGTAACAGATATCGGGAGCATGCTTTCGATAAAAACCCTCGTAACCCATTCGCGAGATTTGCTTTCTGCGATCGCGACCCATAGGAGAAAGGATGCTGTAAGACTCAAGAGCCATGGCATTTATGGATACAAACTCACCAATACAGATTGACCGTCCCATAATATTTGTCTGCCATAGCTTAGGTGGTCTTGTATGTCAAGATGTAAGTAATTATTAGTCTTTGTGGCGTCAGTGTATAGTGTTCTGATAAGATAGGCCCTGTGTTATGCAAGTCAAAGCCACGAGCCGCATCTCAAGCAGGTTCTTTATTGCACTCGTGGGATTGCATTTCTCGGCACTCCCCACGGCGGTTCTGCTCTGGCACACTGTGCAAAAGGTTTAGCAGCTTTTTTTGGAATCGCGCATGAAATACACTCGGATCTCCTAGGTTTCCTTCAGAGGGATTTTGAACTCCTAGCGCGTGTCCAGGACAGTTTCATTACCTTGGTGCAGTTGCGAAGCCGCCCATCCGAGCTAGGTCCAACGATCAACATTGCCTGCTTCTTCGAGGAGCTGCCTTTGGATGGAGTTGGTCAGGTGAGTTTATCATTGATACCGTTCATGCCAGTAAACTCAAACTCATTCTTTATATCAGGTCGTTCCACGGGACGCAATCATCCCTGGGTGCATACCGATCGGAATTCGAGACAATCATATGGACATGACGAAGTTTGAAGATTCAAATGACGCTGGATTCGTAGCTGTCGCTGGGCAGCTGTCTCGATGGTGCGAAGAAGTCTCTTCGCCCCCCCTTGAACGTGCTCACACTATACTAGCTGACGGGCAAGGACTCGGAGTTGGTCCAGAAACCCAATCAGTGAGAGGCATTGGAGGCATAGCAAACGCCGCTGGAACCAGTACAACATGTATGTGGCCCCGTTGGAAAACGAATGCTAATGCAAGTGTCTGAACATTGTGTGTCTCTTTGTAGCGTCGCGGGAAGCGTGCAATATGATACCTTTTGATAGAGACCCAAAGTTTGTCGGTCGAGAAGACGTCATACAGGAAATTGGCCGACAATTCGAGTCTCAGAGAGAAGTTGCTCTATGTGGCTTTGGTGGAGCAGGGTAAGTTTCGCAATAGATGGTCGATAAGACGCATCGCTCATAAAGTATAGGAAATCCCAAATTGCTATCGAGTACGCTTATCGCTTCCGACAAAGACACCCTGATGCCCACATCCTCTGGGTTGATGGCAGCTCTGTTTTTAGAACAGACCCAAAATATTTTCCAATTGTAAAGAAACTGGATCTGCTACCACTAAACCGCATGATTTTTAATTCATGTGCTTTTAAACTAGTGTGTGAAGCACTCAGCAACGGCATGTGCGGCCGGTGGCTCTTGGTATTGGACAACCTGGATGACATGAAAATGTTGGGAAGGATGGTAGGACTTCCGTGGGAGATGGACATCGAAGAAGCTACGAAACCGCCGCCGAAGGCTTACCTGCCACGCAGTCCGAAGGGTTTAACGTTAATCACCACAAGGAGTGACTCGGTCGGCAACTCGTTGACAGGAATGAGAATAACCAAGATTGGGCCAATGGACGAGTCCGACGCTCTGTCGTTACTTCGATCATGTTTGGCCCCTGATGCTATGTCGGATTTAAATGACTGCCTTGAGCTGGTCAAGGCTTTGGACTACGTGCCTCTTGCAATTAAGCAGGCTGCCGCATTCTTACGGCATACCGGGGTGTCACTTGGCCTATATCTCAATAGGTTTCGCAACATTCATGGGGAAATGAGCAGTCTCACGGAGGAGGAGGAGAAAGACAGTAGAGGGGACTTTGAAAGCCGTTGTTCAATCTTCCGAACATTGAAAATTTCTTTCGACTGGACTAGCCAAACCAGGCCTCGCGCCGCCGAGATATTCCGCCTTATGGCGGCTTTGGACAGGCAGGGAATACCGAAACGACTGCTGAAGCGCAATACGGAGCGCGAAGCTGATTTTAATAAATGGCTTGGGGGACTAAAGGACTTTTCGTTGATCTCCGCAACAAAAGGTGAAGATGACCTTGTCATGCACCGACTGGTGCAGCTCGCTGTACGCTCGTGGACCAGGAGCGATCAAGAGTTGAGCAGATACCAGGACGAGGCGCTAGAGATCATGGCGCGTGAATTCCCTCATGAGACATGCGACAACGAGGCTTTGTGTCAGGCATTGATTCCACACGCGTGGGTGGTGGTCCAGTATAAAACCTCTGAGATGACCAGACCTCGCACACGCCTTCTCCAAAATGTGGGCATATACATGATGAGGATATCGCTGTATAATGTTGCGTTTGACGCACTCTCAGAGGCTCTACGACTGCAGTCGAATTTCGTGGACCTCGATAAGAATACTGAGGCGCTGGTATGCCGTTTCTATATCGCAGAAACATTATTCGAGCTAGGTAAGCATACAGAAGCCGAAGAACTACACCGAAAGGTCTTGGAGTGCCGTAGAGCGCTGCTAGGACAAGATCACGAGGACACCATAAAAAGTATGACTCACATTGGACTACAATTGCTGCGCCGAGGAAAATTTGAGGAAGCAAGGGATATATGTGAGCAAGCAGTCGAAAAACAGATTAAGACTCTAGGTTGCTATCATGGAGATACTGAGAGAACTCTCGTGCTACTTGGGGAAGCCATGACAGAGCACGGAAAATATGACGGGCGTATATTTAATATTTATGGACGAAAATTCGGGTACAATAGGCCTGCGAAAGGAGAACCACGCGTTATGATAGAATACCTTAGATATCACCTTTGGTAGGTTTATTCGGAGCTGGACTATATTGTGCTAGGAGAGAGCTATATTTTACTAAATGTATTAGTAGATAATATTTAAGCAAAAAATTAATATTTATATTTTTTAAGTTGATAAAAGGGATATAAAAATAAAAATAATAGATAATTATATTATACTAAGTAATAAAACTATACTATATTTCGGGGAAAACTTAAAGTACACGTACTATAATATAAAATATATTATAATAGTACTTATTTAATAGCTTTCAGTTTAAGTACAAGGGGTTTTCTTGAGTTTTGTGTCTGGCAGATTATTCAACCAAACGCTTATTGTCGGGACCTTGCAGAGAGACAAAAGATACCAAAGAGAGAGTCAAGAAGGCACAATAATAAGCGGGAAATCGGCAAGAAGCTACTATCGGAATTTTCTTCATCCATGGCTCGACAGCCAAGCCCAATTACCGGTGTGGCTTCATTCTTCCACGCCGCTCTTTCGTGGTCTGACCTCCTCCGCCACGCCCACCAAATGTGGAACACAGTCTGTGAGTACAGTTAAATCCGCTACGGGGTTCGGGAGGTGCTCTTGGACAATACAGGTGCCAAGTAAGCATCTGGCTTGTAGTCGTACGATAAGAATGTGGAGGTGGAGTTATAGTTCGTGAGTTGGATGCATGGGTAATACCAGTTCTCATTGCCGAATAGACGGTTTATCATTACAAACAATAATCATCACACAGGTCATTGGAGGGATCACTAGCACTATGTCTACCATTATAAACGTAGTATTCAGTGGATAAGGTTTTGCGTTGTGGTTCATGCAATCTCGCAAGTATAGCTTGTATGAGGACCATGTACATTGGAAGCATCTGCACATAAATACCGATAGAGCTAGCTATTCGCGACCGCTTCCACCGCTCCGGAGATACCAATAGCCTGAAAACTGTGAGAATCTCATCCTGGTACCCGCAGTTATACCTACGTCTCTTACGCGCTACCTGCTCGCCTAACCCAGAGTTGCTCCATCTACGCTGGGGTTTGGCAGGGGAAACCCTGTCATCTTGCTAGCTTCCCGCACAACCGGACCAAGAATAGATGTTTATGCAAAAAGGGGAAGAAAAAAAGAAAACACAGGAAAAACTTACTAATAGCAATAGTTCGGCACGTGCGGTGATGAATCACCACCTCGGCTAGTGTGTTTGGTGCATCGCGATGCGTGTACTCTATGTTTTTCTCGCGGCACGTTACGGCCCTGCAGTCTGGTATGGCTGAATTACAGTGTTACTGGTGGTCTTGCATGATTATCCAGCCCTCTTTTTATTTTCCTTTATAATAATAACAGTAGTAAATTGATATTTTGATACACACTCCGTATAGAACAGATTGAGCGCCATCTACAGGCTAAACCATCTGTCAATAGTGCCCCAAATTTTCCGACACCTCTAAATAATAGCTTAATCCTACCGTAAGGTCCGTGTGACGCCGCTTATGGCCAAGAAATGTCCGAGTTTAATTTAAACCGCATGATCTGCGGGTCTAGGCGTAGTCAAAGCGCAGTGTTGATGTCTAATTGGCCGTCTTCAAACCACGCAAGACGCGCTCAACACTCATGCTACCACCAAGGTACATAAATATACTACATTATAAGAACATGTAGAAGCTTTGCTATCCAGTTCCCAGTTGAATGTGACCCTTCCAAGCTGTCCGGTTGTGCAGCTCCGCTCAGCGCCATGCACTTGACAAGCCTTTACCTGTATTGTTGCCTCTCTCTCTGCTTGACATGTCAAGCTCAGCTCAATCGTTTCCTTCCACGGCAATTTTCTCCCTATGTTAGCGCAATTGCCTCCTTGATTGGCGGCAATGGATTTCTCGAGGCATCCTTCGGCGCCGTACAAGGACTTCTCGGCCGCGACCAAGAGTTCGACTTTGTGGTCGTAGGAGGCGGCACGGCCGGCAACGCCATGGGCTACCGCCTGGCAGAAGCGGGCTTCAAAACGGCCATTATTGAAGCCGGAACCTTTTTCGAGTTGTCCAAGCCCGGTTTTGCTACCATCCCCGGTCTCGATGTCCTCTTTGTCGGTTCCGACAGTTTCGAGGCCTTGTCCCCGGCGGACTGGAAGTTTGAGTCAACGCCGCAGCAAGGCGCGAATAACCGCAAGTTTCATATCGCTCAAGGAAAATGCGTTGGCGGCTCATCGGCTTGGAACTTCATGATCCACCATAGAGGCCCCAAGGGCATGTATGATCAATGGGCCGAAGCCGTCGGAGACGATAGCTACAAGTAGGCCAATGCTCATTGTACAACCCCGTTGCTGGATAATTATTGACATGTAACTCTAGGCTCAGCAGCTTCGAGAAATTTTACAAGAAATTCGCGACATTTACCCCTGGGAGCACCTCGAAACGTCCAGCCGACACCTTGTCTACATCTGGCGCAGCTGACTTTGCTGCTGCTGGTCAAGGCGGTCCCGTTCAAGTCAGCTACACAAACTTCGTCTCCGACTGGTCGAAATGGCTGCAAAAGGGCCTGCAAGCTGTCGGGCTCAAAAGGACGGATGGGTTTGATCGCGGTGATTTGTTGGGTTATCACTACACCGAAACGACCATTCGGCAGTCCGACGCAACCCGTAGTTCGTCTGCTGAATACATCTATGCTGCGAATAAGAAGAAAATGAGTAATCTCAAAGTATTCACTAATACTCAGGGATCGAAAATCGAATTCGATAGTAGCAAGAAAGCCACTGGTGTCAAGGTGCTCTCCGCAGTTGGATCCGAGTATACCATCAAGGCGAAGCGAGAGGTTATCGTTAGCTCCGGCGCCTACAAATCACCCCAGCTTCTCATGCTCTCAGGAATAGGACCCGAGGACACACTAAGCAAACATGGAATCCCAGTCGTTGCGTCGTCGCCAGGAGTCGGCCAGAACATGTGGGACCATATCTTCTTCGGACCGTCGCGCGCCGTCAAGTTCAAGACTATCAATTCCATCTTGCAAAACCCAATCGACTTGGCAAGCGCAGTTGGCAAGTATTTCATCGGACACGAGGGGATTCTCAGTTCAAACGGCATCGAGATGGTCGGGTGGGAGAAACTGCCGGCGCAGCTCAGGGGCAGCTTCTCCGAGGACACCAAGCAGCAACTCGGCTGGTTCTCAGACGACTGGCCAGAGGTGGAGTTTCTCGGGGGCAACGGGCATATAGGAACATTCGGGTCGCTCCTCAAACAGCCGTTCGACGGGAAGCAATACGCTACGCTTCTGGGCGCCCTCGTCGCGCCGCTGTCCAGGGGCAACGTGACCATCTCGTCCACCTCTGTCCGTGACCAGCCCGTCATCAACCCCAACTGGTTGACTGCAAAGGGCGACCAGGAGGTTGCGGTAGCTTTGTTGAAGCGCCTGCGAGAAGTGTGGGCAACCCCTGAGCTGCAGTCCATCTCGAATGGTCCCGAGTACTATCCAGGCGAGAAGGTCAAGACTGACGAGGAGATTTTAAACACCGTGCGAGACTCGCTGATGACGGTGTGGCACCCGGCCTGTACGTGCAAGATGGGCAAGAAGGAAGATCCCATGGCTGTGGTTGACAATTTGGCACGAGTACATGGCGTTCAGGGTCTGCGCGTTGTGGATGCGAGTGCTTTTCCTATCCTGCCGCCAGGACACCCGATGGCGACTATTTATGCGTTGGCGGAAAAGATTGCCGACGATGTTATCCGCACTGCCAAGCAGGGGTAGGTGTGGTGAGAGGGTGGCATAAAGTGCCGCGAATATTCTTATTCTAGCAACGTGGAAGGTTTCCGCGGTTTTGTCCAAAGTTGTAATAGAGATCTATGTGTCATACTTCGCCTGATATAGAGAATTTAGCATGTCTAGACTTTAGCGCGGATAGAATTAGAGTTTGATATAACTACAATTTACTATTTCTAGACTTGAAATCGCATTGAGGACATGAACGATTGTCCTGTCAATGCTAAATGATCATTTATCTCAAACAAGGAGATCAATGAGGCCCGAAAATTTCATGATGCTCATTCAATTCAGCCCACGATATATTCAATGGTGTTACTAACAAAGCAATGTAAATTACCATGTATAACAGGAAACTAAATATGCCCACATGTGGACAATCTATGATGTTGGTTGTGTTTGAGTTGCTTCGGCGTTTCGTTGCGTAAGCCAACGGTTGACGCAAATGCTAGAATAGCACAAGCTACTAGATTACTGGCTCCAGTTCAAAGATTTTCCCCCATCATCAGGCCATCATTATAAAAGCTCCGACCGTCCGTCCAGCCCAGACCATTTCGGTTTCCCATCATCAATATCGACACAGCGCTGTGAGTAAAAGATGTGACACCTAAAGCTGTTCAGCAGGGTATATAGTGTCCGAGGGTTAATCTACTTACTGTACTTTAAAATTTTCCTTCTGCGCTGCACTTGATGAAAGTAATGGTGGAAATACGAGGGCCATGTTCCTTCCTTCATCCATTATATGCGATCCACACCACTTGCAACTAACCTTGCAAGGCAACTCGTGATGACTTTCTTTTGTCGCCGAATTATAAAACTTCAAGTGTTCCACTCCCGTTTCAAAGGCCACATCCGACTTTTCAAAGATGGCAGCCCATTGGAATGGCGCGCCTGATTGACGACGTTGGATTAGTTCAGTGGAACAGTGATGGACCAGCGGCAGCCTTACCATGGATAACTTGACAGCCTACACAATGACAAAATTTGGATGCCAATGGCTTGTCAGTGCTTATCCAATACAACACTTTCCGGCAATGACAGGAGCCTTGAATCTCCCGCCGAAATTGGCTTCGCGTGTCTGGTGGTTGATACGGCGGCTTCAGTGCCCAGCTCTCCGAAGACATTGCAAGTCGCTGATTTGGTCGCCGGCTTCCTGAATAAAAACATGCGATGTGGATGATGGAAGCACATCGGATTTAACTTTAATTCGGTTTAAATTCAAGTCAGCATGTTGAGTTTGGAAGTAGTCCCACGCCAACTGTCCATAATTACGTGACGCTTGC